AAGTTCTACCAAATTTAAGTGAAGTTTTTATTTTAAATTTTGATTAGGTTTACTCTGATTTTATGTCTGTAGAACTCATTCTTGGAAAAAATGGGAGCTTTCTCTGAACATATTTATATTCTGAAACAATTGTCACTATTGGTCACCTAACAAAGTTAAGCTAGACTGCATCTTGCCCTGACTATTTAGGTCGGAAATTATAACATTGAAAAATATGCTTGTTTCACATTTTAAGTTATTTAAAATCTGAATTTTAATGGTAACCTAAAATTTTGTTCAACTATCTGAAAGAAATTTTTGAGAGTGAAAATTATACTGATGCCAAATTGCTAGTAATTTTCCATATGAGGAAAAAAACCCAGAAATTTTTTTATAGTGACAGATATTGAAGACTCCTCATCTATCTTAAATATCATTGCTAAAAACTGCATTAAGATCATAATTTCATATGAAAGTTTTAGCTAGAATATTCAGATTTCACTAGAATATTTTAAGATGTTTTGCCAGATGCTATTGAAGCCTTAATATTCTTGATTTTACCTTATTTTAATCAGTACATGTTTCTATTTATTCTATGCTTTCAGCAATATTTATTGAGTATTAGAATATCTGACTTATATTTAATGTCTCTTGGTGGTACTCTTTAGTTGGAGACAGATTTTGCATCTGCATTTGAGTTGGGGGCTAAGATGGGAGGAGTATATATTGTAAAGAATTTGGTGGTCACATGTAGAAATTTTGTTTTAAAGTATTATAGGCATTATTTTGTTTTAAAGTAATGTTTCGAAGCATGAATAAAGTTGATAATATTTGGAACACATGTTTAAAAATATCTAAATGTAGAGAACAACAAAAACAATTGAAACTGTATGATGCAAAATCATAGTGACCAAGTGTGACCTCAAGGAAATGCCACCACTTTTGTATCTTTGTAGAGGTGGAGGACTATGGATGTGAAACTTTGAGTATAATATCAGTCTTCTAGTAAGTCAGTTAATTTTGCTGAACTTTTTCCCCTTGTTTTTACTCTTTATTATAAGGGATGGCTGTTTAGGAAGGGAGGAGTGAGATATATCGTAAAATGTAGGTGATGTAAAACAAAATGTATCAATAACAAAAAATAAAAAGAAACAATACCTTTTCTGTTAGGAAAGGTTTTTTTTTCTTTTTAATGAACATTATTGAAGTTTTAATTCAGCAGCAGAATTGATTTCCCCCTGTAAAGGGTAGTGCCTTCACAGGTTTCTATGACTCATTTGTTGAAGAAGTGTGATTCAGGACACCACAATCTATTTCCTCATCTGCTGGCTATTCTGACCACTGGCAAACTCTCTTGACAAATTTGCAATAATATGTCACACTTATGTATAGCCTCATGTTTAGAAATTGATTCCACAGCAGTGAAAGTTTTGAATTTACATAATAGGAACTAAAATGTGTCTGATGTGAACTAAAGTACTTCAGTGTGAAAACTAACAAATGTACCAAAGATTATTAGTGCCTTATAAATAGATCTGTATAGGGTTTAATTTGTGTGCTTCTGATTAAGGTATTTACCTATTTAACTACATGTGGAGGCAAAATATCTTCTTTGTATTCTTATTCCACACTAAAAAATTAATGAAAGTTAAATATTTGTTATAGTTTAACCTTGAGCTGCAAAGTCAGAAGATTTTGGTTATATGCTTAATCATGTCCAGCTTTCACCACTTGGATACCCTACTTTATCCCTGTGAACCTCAGGGGTTCACTTTTCTCTCAATTGTGCCCTCATTTTGAAAATAAGAATACTTCACAAAAGTATTATGAGGAAACGCCAATTTAAACTGTAAATTTTTATATTGATGTAACTTATTGATATTAATAGAGATAATGATGCTATTGATATAATAACAGAGCATGCATCCCATTTTCATAGATCTCTTCAGGTCATTTCATCCAGATAGTTTTCTCCTTCAAGAGAAGTGTCTCTGTGAACTGTGTGACCTAATATATATTTGTGATTCTCCTCTATAGCTGAATTGTTTTCAGAATCATATTAATGTTCTAATATTTCACGTAGTGTTAACAGTAATATAATATGGACCAGGTAGGTGGTACAGTGGGTAAAGGACTGGGCCTAGAGTCAGGAAGACTCATCTTCCTAAGTTCAAGTTTGGCCTCAGACACTTCCTAGACGAGTGACCTTGGGTGAGTCACTTAACCCTGCTTGCCTTAGTTTCCTCATCTATAAAATGAGCTGGAGAAGGAAATGGCAAATCCCCCCAGTATCTTTACCAAGAAAATCCCAAACGGGGTCACAACGAGTTAGACACTACTGAAATGACTGAACAATAACAACAATGCTTATTTACTTAGCATTTCACATTTTCAAAGAAACTTAAAATATACGTATCTATTATTACTTTGCTGCTTAACTTTGAGATGATCATTTTCATCTTTATGCAGATAAGGAAACTCAGACTTATGATTTCTTTAAGTGCTCCAGTAAACAGTATATACCCATTTTTGCTCACAGTGTGTTTCTCATTATACCACATTGCAGTTATGATATAAGAATTCCAAGCTGGATGTGCTATCTTTTTTTTTTAACTGTAGAGACATGGGAAAAGAAGTACATCAGCTGAAAGCAATTATGAATATAGAAAATATTTGTTTTTTTTCCAAACCTACTTTAAACTTTTCTCCTCAGAAATCCCATAGCAAGGTAGCTCACAGCTAAATAATGGACTGTGTCTTATTTTCTCTCATTTAGAGGTCAGAGATGCAAAATTATCTCCATCTGTGCTGAAAAGAATCTATGCCTAGGATAACTTTTTATTTTTAAGAAAAAAATGGTGTTTGAAAAAACAAGTGGGATGACCATATTTCATTTGGGATTCTAATTTGAAAGCATTTATTTTCTCAGTATCTCTCAAATAGCGATGTGATTGATGCCTGTTTTGTGCCCTCTATCAGATCCATTTCCTACCTGATGGCTGTTGATATATCAAATACATAAAGTGGTCCTGTTGTGGAATTTCTTTTACTTTAGGCTCTTATATGTCCTCCTTCTGCCCCCTCCTACCTAAAACCTCCACCTTCACCACTACTAAGTGACATTTTGTCTGCCCTTTCATCTCTCCAGATCTTGCCTTTTTTCCCCCCATCTATCCTCATTGTAGAGCACGGGTGCGGAGCTTGCGTCCTCGAGACCACATGTGGCCCTATAGGTCCTCAAGTGCAGCCCTTTGATTCCAAATTTCACAGAACAAATCCCCTTTATAAAAGGATTCTGTAAAACTTGGCCTCACACCCAAGGACCTAGAAAGCCACATGTGGCCTCAAGGCCATAGGCTCCCCACCCCTAAGCTAGAATCACTCTTAATTTTACTGACTCTAGCTTTTGATCAGGTTTTCTCCATTTCCTAATGAACCTCTTAATTTCCCAGGCCAGGTCCTGGTATTCCTTGTTTCTTCTTTCTGTCTCTCAGGCCTGAACTAATTCTCTCTGTGTTCCCCTTCCCCAAACAACACTTGTTATTTTACTTCAGACATTTGCCTCTTCAGACTACTATAATATATCAATAAATGATTTATTATGTCCAAATTGAATTCATCTCATTGAAGCAATGATAGCTCAACATCAGGAAAGCAATTTGTATAATTATCTAAATAAAAATAATGTTTATAAAACCTAATGATTATTCTAATAGATGAAGAAAAAAATCTAGGACTACATATAGTATGTATTCATGTTAAAAAACAAAAACAAAGAAACCTTAAAAGCAAAGGCAGGGAAAAGCCATTCTTTAATATAGTCAAATGCACATACCTAAAACCAAGAATATTAACAGAAATAAAGCAAAAATACCTCCTCTCCCTACTATTATTTAACACATTTCTAGAAATGCCAGCAATAGCAATAAAACAAAAGAAAAAAAAGGATTTAAACATCAGCAAAAAGAACATAAAATGATAATTGTTTATGAATAACATGATGATGAACCTAGAGAAACCAGAGAATCAGCAAAGAAATTAGTTGAAATGATTAATACCTTCAGTAATGTAACAAGATACAAAATATGCCTACAAAAATCATAATCATTTCTCTGTAGTATTAACAAAAACCAGGAAGAAATTAAAAAAATACATTTTTATCAGGTTTTAGTAAGTCATAATGATTATTCTTTACTACTTATGTGGTTTGGATTCTGTATTCATGTCCATTCCATACCTAGTAGACCTATGAATTTTAAAGGAATATGCAGAGAGGGTAGAAATTGAGAAAATAAGCCATGGCTGCTGAAGATTACTGTCAAAAAATGTTGTGTAAGTAAAAAAAAAAATAAAAAGGTTTTCTTTATTAAAAGCTTACACCAAATTGGCATTACTGTTTTGCTTATATTTTAACTTACAGAGTCATCTGTATGTTTAAGGTAAAGTTCTTAAGATTTTACATTTTTTACTCTAAGCCTAGGTCTCTGATTTGTATAAAGTTTATTTCTGAAAACATTCCTCTCTGTAGTCCTACTGGAGTTGGGAGCACTGTACTGGTTTTATATTTTGAACAATTGGTAACCATTTGCAGATGATTTGATTTCCCCTACTACTTTTTTGAGAGTACTTTAAGAAAAAAAATCTTGCTTCGATATTGTTGAAAAGTGGACTTTTGGTCAGATATAAGGAGAATTGAGTAATGCTTGGAAATCACTTTGAAAATGGAAAGTACTATTTAGTATAAGATGTTGAATATTATTTCTGGCATAGTGTTGGTTTATGGTAGAAATACTAAAATTGGATCTGGATGTATATTATCCAGAGACAAAATTGAAAAAGTTAACTGTAGAGTGCTGTTTAATTTTGTTTTAAATTAACCAAGGACATTTTAAAAGAAGGCTAAGCTAGCTATAGTGATTTTCTTATTTAGTGGTTTGCCAAAAGTCACTATTTTTAAAATTGATTTAAGATCTTTAAGTTTAAAAAAAATTATTGAAATTAACTTCAATCTTTATTTATAGGAAGAGTGTTTCTTGAATCTTGAGGCACCAATTTCAAGAGTGTGTGGATATGATACACCATTTCCTCATATCTTTGAGACATTCTATATCCCAGACAAATGGAAATGTTATGATGCCCTTCGAAAAATGATAAATTATTGATCAAATAGGTCGGTATGTTTTCATTTTTTGAAAAAGCAAACATTTGTTATTATGATGAAATTTTTGTAAGAGAGGTTTTTTCCATAAGTAAATGACATTCATTGTAAATTAGTGAGGTTTCATGCTATAATCTGTTTGGCCAGATTTAATAGGTTTCTTTATCTCTGTCAGTTATTAAAATGCAGTAGGTTATATATACAATGTAATTACATGATTTCTTGTGAAAACAATTTGCACTACGTTCTACACAACACAGATTTTCAAAAGCAAATGAGAATTAATTCTTGATGATAACATGGAACCTGTTTCTCCAACTTTGGGGTTCAAAAAGTAAGCTTGCCTAAGCCTACAGGAGGAACTGCTTGAAACATGAGGAAATAATGCATGAAAGGAAGAGGATAATATAACCCCTCTCCTCTTTTACTCCATGCATAATGTCACTGGGTCTAGTAGTTCCATTTTGAAACAGGGTTACAGATATGCATTAGTTCTGGCTAGTAGTTCACACAGAATCTCTCAGACACATGGCTGTAGTCCCTGAGGAGAAGCCTTCTTAAGTAACTACAAAAAATGCTGCATGGGCAATGGTGGTATCAGCCAGGTGTTCGAGGAACCACCAGTTCCAAATAAGACATTCTTGTCTTAAAATAGGCCTTTGAAAGTAACCAGGAAGGGCACAATTATTTACCTAGCTCCTTGGGTTGTGGTGTTAAGTATTATGGATCCAAACAGTGAATGGTAAAGGCAGTAATGAGCTACTTTATGCTTTATCAATGTATTTCGATATAGCATTGAGATCAATTTTTATATTCATATAAATGCATTTCTTTTTTCATAAGTATGAGAAAATTATTTAAACCTTATGTAAACTTAAGTATATTTGAACAAAATGTATGAAACATTTGTAGGTTTATATACTGTTTATACTAACAACACAATAAAAATAGCTTTTCTGCTCAACAAATCAAATCAGGCATAAAAAGACAATTGTGGGACTAAGAAATATGTATATGTAATTAATTATAATTATTCTCAGTTGGTCTTAATCTGTATGATTTGTTATTGTCTTTTATAGAGGCCAGAGGAAAGAACTAGATGCAAAAGTATCTCAATGGACTTTGATATTTACTCAAATTTGTTTCTTCTTCACATGGACTTCATATGAAACCATCTGTCCTGAATATTGGTCAAGAAGAAGCTAAAGCTCAGAATCCTCACTATTAGCAAATACAAAAAAAAAAAAAGGATATTTCAAATAGTGAATAGTTTAATATGGGCTTTATAAAATTTTCCACATTCTATGAGTATAAATACTATTAAGTTTATATAACCTTGCTTGTTTACATCTTTAAATGACTTCTCTGTAAATAGGGGATGTGGGACTATATTCAATAAAGCTTTTTCAAGTTGTCAGGTTTTTTCCTCATGTTGTTTCTAGTAAAATCCATAATTGTAAATTCTCAAAATTGTGAAGCATGAATTGGTTGTTGGTTAAGTTATAATAAAAATGAAATAGAGATTGGTTTGGGCCTTCTGACTTTAGACTGCTATACCCAGGGTCATTTCTTTTTGGCCAATGTAGTTTTGTCTCTTTAAGATTTCTTTAATATCTGGCCTATTCTCCTGTACTGCCTCAATAAGGTGCTACAACGGTGTCTCCTCTTTCTTTGTCTCTGTCTCTGTCTCTGTCTTTATTTCTCTCTCTCAATCAGTGTCTTTCTCTGTTCATCTGTCAGGCACAAATACACATGAACATGAATAGTTCAGCAAAGAACACCTTCCTGTTACCTACTTCTCTCCTGTTTTCCTGTTTTTAAAAAATTACTACAGGAATACGAAAGGATCTGTGATTGCTTTGGTGTGGGAAACTCTGTCTTCTGATGTAGATTGCAACCCATGTATAATGTAATCCTCAAGGATAGCTTGAGGCTTAAAGAGATTAAGTCCAGGAATACTGTCAAGTGTCAGAGGCAGGGATTTGAACCGAGATCATATTGATTCAAATTCTAACTCTCTGTTACACCACATTACCTCTTTAAAAAATATTATAAACTGAATACACTCAATAAATTCAAATATATCAGTAGTCTAAAAAACTATGCAACATGTCTCCAGATAAAGGTGGGCAAAATAAGACTGACAGGCCTTAAAGAATCTGTTCCAATTTTTAGCTCTCTTGTGATCGCATAACTTTTTTGTGTGTGTTTGAAAATTAGTATGCAAAAATTAAAAATTAAAACCCAGGTTTGATTAGAGGAAGGACTTCCAGTGCTACAATTTTTCCTTACTACCAAAATCTTGTCTATGAATGGGGTAGCACAATGGAATAATAACTCACATTTTTTAGTCACTTTAAGGTTTACAGAGTACAATACAGACATCTCTACAACAGCCCTGTAAAATAGGTTCTACCATTATTCCCAGTTGCAGGTAGGGAAATAGACACAAAAATAAAGTACCTTGACCAGCATCATACAAAAAAAACCCAAAGTGGCTAAGGTGAGATTCAAACCCAGATCTTTGTGACTTCAGATTCGGCATTTTATTTATCATACCACTGCACAAAGCAGCCAACTCACACTACTTTACTCTCAAACTATGCAGACTTCCCCTACTATCTTAAGATACATAAAGAACATAGGTCAGAGCTTCATCCATCCGTAAAGCAGAGAGAACCATGGCCATTGTTTATTCCTTTCCACATAAACATTAAAAATGATAACTTTCTCATGAATATCAATGGATTTATTATTTTATAGTACATAGGGTAACACCAGAAAAATTAACTTGCAATTGAAATCTGGTGCATATATATACATATATATATGTGTATATGTGTGTGTGTGTGTGTGTGTGTGTATATATATATATATATATATATATAATATATATATATATACATATACACATATATATTAATATTGGAGAGAGTACTGCCAAGCTCTGTACTAGTATGTGTTTACATGTAATCATAAAAACTATAGTTGAGGAAACCCCTAATGATTGCATCCCCACTAGCAAAAGTTTTGCAGAATAAATATGATTCATGGGGAAGGAAAATATTTAGCAATAACTTAATAGTCCTAAACCCTAATAACCAATTTCCGAAGGAAAGATTCCTGCCACTATCATGTTAAGCAGTTAAGGTGGTCATGGGTCTTTATGAGTGACCATGCAGTTCAGCAGATGCTCAGGGGGTAATTTATTTGCCACAAACTCTCACTGGATTCAGTGATTATCTAGTACAAAATTACTTGGTGGTTTGGATGGACAAACTGTCTTTAACAGTGTTTTTTTGGAGGGAATCCATTTGGAATAGCAGTGCAACAGCCTTTCTTTTTAGAGAAAGTGTTTTTGCTCATCCACAATTCTTTTCTTAGGAAACATGGACTTATACACGAATCACAGTCTTTACCTGAAAAATGCCAATAGAGAATTTTTTTTACTCCTGGACTCCTCTTCCCATCATAGTTCACCAGGACAGCAGGAAGTTATAGAGAGAAAACCAGTTTTGTCTAAGTACTTTCCAGAGAACATGTTGCTCCAACTAAAGCCTTGAATATTTATACACAAATGGATAAAATGTAAATTAACAAGCAATCTAAAGATCTTAATGCAAGGAAGCAAGTTTGGCCTTGTAGGTATCACTGAGACTTGGCAGATGAGACCCATATTGTACTGTGGCTCTGGATACCTTATTCAAAGAAAATAAGATGGGTAAAAAGGATTAGGGATGGGGGCAGAGTAGCATTATATATATGTATGAATGTATGTGTACATATATATGTATATATATATATATGTGTGTGTGTGTGTGTGTGTGTGTGTGTGTGTATGTATATTGAGAACATATGCTGCTGTGATGAAACCTAGGGAGTGGTGGAAAGTATTTGGGTGAAAAACAACATGGAGAAACAGTGCTGCCCTAAGATTACATAATAAAAATACCTACTAAAAAAAATCACAGAAGCACAATATAGCAGTTACAGGAAATTTAGATTATACAGACATCTGTTGGATCTCTTTTCATCAAAAGAAGAATACGTAATACTTCCCTTAATGATAATTTTGTCCTTCAAAAAGATAGTGCAGCAAACAAGGGAAATTTTACTCTGAATCTGCTTTTCACTAACAAAGAGGAACTGGTTGCTGGGATGTATAATTGGAAATGACCACCCCATCTTATTGATGGGAAAGAAAGCTGGAAATTATTCAACATGAATCCTCTTTTTAGAGACTTTACAAAGGGTTCAAAGGAAAGATAGATTCCCATAAACCAGGCATGCACAACATACGGCCTGCCAAAGGATTTCGGGTGGCTGTCATATGACCCATGGCAACCAGCCATCATCAGTCTTTCTCTAGTGTAACCTATCTGAGGCCTGAAGAAGTTTACAAGTTGTGCAGGTCTGCCATAGACCAAAATTTTCTGAGAGAAGTCAATGCAAGAGGAATAGGAAGCTCTCAAGAATGAAAGTCTAAAAACAGAGTTTTGATGAGGAAAAGGAGGAGTTGTCTAAAAGAGATAGTTGCTTATGGAAGCAAAGGGGACTCACCAACTAACTTCATCTTTAAAAGACAAAAAAGTGAAAGCAAGGGTACATAACAGGATGAATGCAAAACATGTATTCCTGTTAGAATAGTATCAGGATTGCTAATAGAATGCTAATAGTCAGGCTGCTGGAAAAGCTACTGATAACAAAAAGGGTTAGACTCTGGCTATGTGGGGAAAATGATAACTGACAATAGAAAAGAGAGTGCTTAACTCTGTTTTCTTTGCCAAGGAGTATAGTACTTGGCTTACAAAGGGCAGAACAAAACTGTCTAAGAGGGAGTTGATATTCCAGACAAAATATTAATGAGATCTAGCTGGCTGTTGAGTTCAAGTCAGTTGGTTCTGATGATTTACCTTCCAAAGTACTGAAATATTTGGCATATATGATTGTTGAGCTACCATTGGTGATCTCTGGGAGACTGTGACCTACAAGATGGTGAAGTTGTTTTCAACAATCTTTAATAAATCTAAAACCTCAGGAAAAACAAAAAAAAAAAGGTATCCACCAGATATGGAATAACTGAAGTTGAATTCATAAAACAAGAAGACAGAAATGCCTCTCAAGGTTGTTTTATTCAAACCCTCATTAAACAGCAGTAAAAACTTTCTTCAAACTTCCATTCAACCCTTCTCTCAAGCCCTAATCCATATGGCCATGAATACAATCCAATTCACAGGATTATGATTCAGTCTACCTGTAAAGTCCCATGCCAATTCCCTCTTCTCTCTCAGTGACAAATTTGAGTTCTTCACTTTGAAAGTGGTGGCAGAATCTTCTGTATAATGGAAGAATAGCAGAATGCAAAACAAAACAACATACAATGTATTTTTTTAAACTGAAGAAAAATAGACACAATGGAAATGAAAAGCTATAACAAAATTTACTAAATATCAAAGGGATGCAAAAAAACAAGCATTGCAGTCATATTTTCAGACAAAGCAAAAAAAAATTCATTTTGTTAAAATTGATAAACAGCAAAACTACATCATGCTTACAGGAACCATAGATAATGAAACAGTTAAGCACATATGCATTAAATATGCATTCATAAAACAAAAGTTATTGAATTCAAACATACATAATAGTTAACTTCCCCTCCCATGGCTAGATAAATCTAGTGGATAAAAATATATAACTGAAAAAATGGTTGAAAATAGAGTAGAAAGGTATATGTTATCCTATTAATGAAAACACTAAGGGGGCGGAGCCAAGATGGCAGAGTGAAAGCAGTGACTTGCTTGAGCTCACATCCAAACCCCTCCAAATACTCATAAAAAATGGCTCTAAACAAATTCTGAAGTGGCAGAACGCACAAAAAGACAGAGTGAAACAAATTTCCAGCCCAAGACAGCCTGGATGATTGATCAGAAAGGTGTATCACGCTGGGCTGGGAGCAGCACGGCATGGGCGCTCAGGCTGCAGTGAACCTGGAGCAGGCCTCAGAGGACTGAATCTCGGGCAGCTGTGGAGGTTTCCAGACTCCTCAATCCACCAATGCCAAAGACAACTTAGAAGGTCAGTGGGAAAAGTCTGTTTCTGTCAGTGCTGAGAAAGGAAGGCAGGGTCTGAGCTCCATTCCCCAAGAGCGTGGCCCTGGTGGGGGGTAGCTGCTTCCCAAGCTTCCTGCCCCGACTGAAAGGGAATCCAGTGGCTGGTCAGAAAAGGATTGCAGGGATCTCTTTGCCAGTGCTGAGGCAGGAATCTCTTGCTTTGCCCATGTTTGGATTTGGGCCACAGTTCTGGGTGGCGGTGCTGGGGTGAGGAGGAGTGCTGGCTTAGTGGAGCTTGTAGCAGCTGTGGAGAGGAACCCCTCCTCACAGTTACAGGACAGAAAGGAGTACTTGTAGTCACAGGCCAGGAAAGGAGTAAATACCTTGCCCCTTATCATACCACCTTGCAAGAACTGAAAATTTACAGGTCCCTACAAGTATCTCTGAAAACAGCTGTACAAACCCCCAAAAAAGCT